GCGGGGGGGGGGGGGGGGGGGGCTTGTGTCCCCTAACTTTTAGAAACAGAGGGCTGAGCCCCCTAAAAATTCTAATTTCTATGTGAATATCGAAGTGAATGCACAGTTGCACACGTTTAGTACGTATGGCGCAGAGATGTATGGCGCACAGGAAGATTGAATCTTTCCTTGCCCCAGCTCTATCCAAATCAAACTTTGTGTTTCAGAGATTTGAAAATAAAAAGTTTTTGCCCCCTTAACTTTAATCATTTTCCTACGACCCTGGACTGGACAGTTGGACTGGACTGATTTTTACATTTTCTCTATTCTTGACTTGCAACGCAGCCGCCATGTCAGGCCGCATGGCACAAAAGAATATTTTATCACAGAATAGATATATCGTGTCGTGTCTATTTTGTGATTTTATCAATGAACATTGTCTGGTGTGTACCAGGAGGAGATTGGTTGCAGTCAAGAATATAACGTTTTGCACCTGAATTACTTTTGATTTTCGGAAATTTTTGAAATACTTTACCTTCGTCGATGACCTCATTTTATAACTGTAGTGGAATCTCTGTAGAAAAGAATACAATACCAAACATAAACTACTTATCTGTCTTTGCTATGGGTAGCCTGCTCGCACACGTATTAAATTTCGATATTTTAGTCTGCATTGCCATGGGCGTAGGAAGATCGAAAATTGGGGGGAAGCTCATATTCATATATTCGTGTTCTGCATCATTTCTTTTGAAATTGATTGTTTTTACAATCTGCGAACGTGAATATATCAATATAAGCCCCCCCCCCCAAAAAAAAAAATTATCGATCTTCCTACGCCCATGGCAATGCAGAATAGATTCCACTAAAGTTATAAAATGAGGTTATCGGCGAAGGTAAAGTATTTCAAAAATTTCCGAAAATCAAAAGTAATTCAGTGCAAAACGTTATATTCTTGACTTGCAACCAATGTCCTCCTGGTACACACCAGACATTAATATTCATTGTAAAATCACAAAATAGACATGTCATGGTATATCTATTCTGTGATAAAATATTCTTTTGTGCCATGCCACCTGACATGGCGGGTGACGTGCAAGTCAAGAATAGAGAAAATGTAAAAATCAGTCCAGTCCAACTGTCCAGTCCAGTCCATGTTTTGTACTATGCCGCATAAATGCATATTCATAACTTTCGTTTTCAACGCTTTCTTAGAAGTGGAGCAGATTCCTGGAAAATAATCTTAACAACAGGTAAATTCCCCGAGGTTAGATTAGGATCGAGGTTAGGATTGGGTGGTTTTTTGGGTTCAAATTAAGGCCATGTCTTAATTTGAGTGCTTTTTGACAATTGAGACATAGACCATCAAGCTAACATATCAGTAATGCCTCGTGGAAAGGCATAGTTTCTAGAAGACTCGCAAAATCACTGATGTGATAATTGGACGCAACAGTGGCCGTTTTTATACTAGAGACGCATTATGCGTCTGGACGAACTTGGACAAGCATTTGTTGTTCGTCTGGTTATGCGTCCTCAGTATAAAGACGGGCACAAGACGCATTATGCGTCTAGACGAATTATGTTTGATTCTTCGTCTTAAGAGACGTACGCACAACCGATGAGGCTAGGCGCATAATGCGTCTTGTGCCCGTCTTTATACTGAAGACGCATAACCAGTCGAACAATAAATGCTGATAGTTCGTCGGATTATTCTTCCCGTCTTTATACTAGACGAATAATATAGAAGACGGATTTTGCGTCCAGACGCATAATGCGTCTCTAGTATAAAAACGGCCATTACGACCGGCTTTTTCCATTCCGGGTCATTGACAGATTAAGCATTCCAAACCCCAAGGGAGTTCAGACCAATGCATGCGTTTAGCGGTAGCCAATGATAGCAAAGCTTTTGCAAGCTAAACCAATCAGAGCTCGTAAAAATCTGATACTAACAAACAATGGTGTGGTTCACGGCTTTACGCATTTGTGGCAAATTTGAATATTTCTGCTCGAGGCTTCAAAGTTGAGAGAGCACACAATTAATGTTACTGCAACCAAACTTCGCTTTTATGAAACTTATTCGAAATAAAATCAGTGTACCATGCAGAGGGAAAGGTCAGTATTAAATTTAGCTATTTTTAAAACGTTTTTGAGTTGTTATTAAGTTCTAGTTGCTTTTCGAAGCTCGTGTGTATATATATTCATTGTATTAATATGTATTAAATTCAAGCGCTTCGTTTCGGCGCTTAGTCGCTTTGTTTCTTTAGTGTTTCTCTCTCATTTTCTAGCAGTTGTGTTCAGAAGTACCCGAGCTTTGATTTATTTAACTCATATTTAGTTTATTTACGATTTCAGGGCGAAAATTTGATGAGAAAGTGAACTAATTTAAGGCCGGATTCCACGAGGCGGAATTTTTCGACTGAAACGAAATTTCTCTTTGTCTTTTTACAATTAGTTCTGCTCGAGAGCTCTGAAACAAAGAGAAATTTCGATTCGGTCGAAAAATTTCGCCTAGTGGAAAACCGCCTTAAAGTCGCCGACATGGTCGAAAAGGCGAAGTCCCTTGGTAAGCATAATGTCCACTAAAGGCGTTTCCTTCTTGTTTTTTAGGCATCCCTTATACACCTAAAACGTCTTCTAGTAAAGGGTTGCCCCTGGGGGTTTTCGGTATCCGGACTCACCACTCACCAGTTCTTGCCATCGACAGCAACTGTCCATGGCACTTCTGGTTTTCCTCGGGTGATTATAGATGTTTTCGCAAAATATCTAAAAATTCCAAAACAAAAATTTAGTACTGTATGTTAACTGTTGTATATTTTCATGTGTTTTTATATTCTATGAATGCCGAGTTGCATTCTCCGAAATATACGCAGTAATAAATTATAATTTCACGTCGTTAGACCCCACTTTCTATCTTTTAATAAGAACGTGGTTTGCAAAGGAGGAGCCATCTACTCAACTCAGCCATATGTTATTTTTATCAACAAACAGTGTTTCGTATTATAAAGTAATTTACAATGGATCATTCCAGAAAACATCCATACCCCCACCACCAAGAAAATTAAATTAACCCCTCTTTGAATGACCTAGTACATTTACTATTATCAGAAACAACCTTTCTCCCCACCCCCTCCAGATAGCAGAAATTTCCCCCTTTGGGATAGGGTTGATTTTTTTGGAAGACTCAATTTTGCGCAAATACAAAGTTGCAGATAATAAATTAAAATTTTCTAACTACTATAATACCAGACAATTAAATTTCCTGATCTATATAGTCACTGATCTAGTCTCGAAAATTGCGACGACACAGTACTTGTTCGTTTCCGGGTTGAATTCCCAGAACACTGTAAACTAGTTACCAAAAAAGTAATGTTTGTACTTTCATCACATATTCTAGCAAAAGTTCCATTAGGAGGAACCGCTTATTATTTATAAGGGAGGGTGGACCAGTTGGATTTGGAGATGGGGCAAGATGAATTTGAGGTGGCTTCATGAACCGGGTTAGTGGTCGGCTATAGATCACATTAACCAACCTGACCTTTTTTATCAATGTTATTTCCCAGCCATATGTTCTAGCCCAATTCCCAGGTTCAACAATAATCTAAAAAGAATGTCCCTGACTAGCTGTTTTCATCACCCATGTTCGAACTGAATTTGTGTGCAAAGTCATGGGGGAAAGGGGCGTGTAAACCCCTCCTAAGAGAATGAGTTAAGTACAATAAAAAAAAGTTAAAGCGAGTGAAGGCGAAACGGGCTAGTGGTAAGGACAAAGTATTGCAAGTGCCTGAAGCCAGGTTCGATTCCTGGTTCTACCAATAGCATTTTAATGCCAGGCGTCGTTGTTAATTAATTCCACCCGAGACGAGAATGAGTTAAGTACAATAAAAAAAGTTAAAACAAGTGTAGGTGAGATGGTCTAGTGGTAAGGACAAAGTGTTGCAAGTGCATGAAGTCAAGTTCGATTCCTGGTTCTACCAATAGCATTTTAATGTCAGGCGTCGTTGTTAATTAATTCCACCTGAAACGAGAATGAGTTAAGTACAATAAAAAAGGTGTTCAAGCAAGTGTAGGCGAGATGGTCTAGTGGTAAGGACAAAGTGTTGCAAGTGCGTGAAGCAAGGTTCGATTCCTGGTTGTATCAAAATCATTTTAATGTCAGGCGTCGTTGTTAATTAATTCCACCTGAAACGAGAATGAGTTAAGTAGAATAAAAAAGGTGTTCAAGCAAGTGTAGGCGAGATGGTCTAGTGGTAAGGACAAAGTGTTGCAAGTGCGTGAAGCAAGGTTCGATTCCTGGTTGTATCAAAATCATTTTAATGTCAGGCGTCGTTGTTAATTAATTCCACCTGAAACGAGAATGAGTTAAGTAGAATAAAAAAGGTGTTCAAGCAAGTGTAGGCGAGATGGTCTAGTGGTAAGGACAAAGTGTTGCAAGTGCGTGAAGCAAGGTTCGATTCCTGGTTGTATCAAAATCATTTTAATGTCAGGCGTCGTTGTTAATTAATTCCACCTGAAACGAGAATGAGTTAAGTAGAATAAAAAAGGTGTTCAAGCAAGTGTAGGCGAGATGGTCTAGTGGTAAGGACAAAGTGTTGCAAGTGCGTGAAGCAAGGTTCGATTCCTGGTTGTATCAAAATCATTTTAATGTCAGGCGTCGTTGTTAATTAATTCCACCTGAAACGAGAATGAGTTAAGTAGAATAAAAAAGGTGTTCAAGCAAGTGTAGGCGAGATGGTCTAGTGGTAAGGACAAAGTGTTGCAAGTGCGTGAAGCAAGGTTCGATTCCTGGTTGTATCAAAATCATTTTAATGTCAGGCGTCGTTGTTAATTAATTCCACCTGAAACGAGAATGAGTTAAGTAGAATAGAAAAGGTGTTCAAGCAAGTGTAGGCGATATGGTCTAGTGGTAAGGACAAAGTGTTACAAGTGCGTGAAGCAAGGTTCGATTCCTGGTTGTATCAAAATCGTTAAGTAGAATAAAAAAGGAGTTCAAGCAAGTGTAGGCGAGATGGTCTAGTGGTAAGGGCAAAGTGTTGCACGTGCGTGAAGCCGGATTTATTTTGGAGTCTCATAAGCACGCTCATGTATGCTTGTTTTAGCGCGCTTATGAGAATCGCGTAATTCAGTGTCTCATGAGCACGATCTTGACTTGCCTGACTAGATTTGAACACGTTAAAATAAGATTTATTTTATTTACCTCGAAAAAAGAAAAAATAAATGGTTTAGGTGTCCTGTGCCATGGTCTGGGTGCTCTGTGCCATGGCCTGGGTGCTCTGTGCCATGGCACAGGCCACCCAAACCATTTATTATTTTAATTTTTCGAGGAAAATAAAACTACAATTCTTAAAGCAATTCATATTCTAACGTGTTCCCTTGCTCTAGCAAAAACTTGACGCCGGTCTGAAAATTGTATTTTTCGAATCTAGGGCCATTGGGTTTCTGTCGATGCCTCATTCTTGCATAAATGTCTATTTATGCAAGAATGAGGCATCGACAGAAACCCAATGGCCCTAGATTCGAAAAATACAATTTTCAGACAGTCCGTAGACAAAAAAAGCAAGTTTTCCAGCTGTGTAATCGAAAAAAACGTGAAAGTTAATATTATACTGTTTCGAACTTTATCTTCTATTGAATTTCAACGCTCCTGTATAGCAAAACTAGAATTTGTCACGGTCTGAAAATTGTATTACTGGAATCTACGTTCAATAGGCTTTCTGTCGATGCCTCACTCTTGCATTAATAGACAATCCGTGCACATAAAAAGCAGGTTTTTTCAGCTGTGTAATCGAAAAAGACGTGAAAGTTAATATTATGCGCTTTCGAATCTTATGTTCTATTGAATTCCTAGGCCCCTTGTAGCAATAACTAGAATTTGGCACGGTCTGAAAATTGTATTTCTGGAATCTACGTTCAATAGGCTTTCTGTCGATGCCTCATTCTTGCATAAATAGACAGTCCGTGGACATAAAAAGCAACGTTTTCAAGCTGTGTAATCAAAAGAAACGTGAAAGTTAATATTATGCCGTTTCGAACCTTATGTTCTATTGAATTTCAAGGCTCGTGTAGCAGACACATGAATTTGGGCTGGTCTGACAATTTTATTTTTGGAATCTATGATCAATAGGCTTTCTGTCGATGCATTACTCGTGCATCACTAGATTTGTCCGTGGAAGTAAAATGCAGCTTTTTCCAGCTGTGTAATCGAAAAAAACGTGAAAGTTAATATTATGCTGTTTCGAACTTTATCTCCTATTGAATTTCAAGGCTCCTGTATAGCAAAAACTAGAATTTGGCACGGTCTGAAAATTGTATTTCTGGAATCTACGTTCAATAGGCTTTCTGTCGATGCCTCACTCTTGCATAAATAGACAGTCCGTGGACATAAAAAGCAGGTTTTTTCAGCTGTGTAATCGAAAAACACGTGAAAGTTAATATTATGCGCTTTCGAATCTTATGTTCTATTGAATTCCTAGGCCCCTTGTAGCAATAACTAGAATTTGTCACGGTCTGAAAATTGTATTTTTGGAATCTACGGTCAATAGGCTTTCTGTCGATGCCTCATTCTTGCATAAGTAGACAATCCGTGGACATAAAAAGCAAGTTTTTTCAGCTGTGTAATGGAAAAAGCGGAATTCTCAAGTTCATAAAAAAGATATAATTAATTAACAACGACGCCTAACATTAAAAATAATTTTTGACTGCAGCCGGAATTGATCCTGGCTTCACACACTTGCAACACTTTGTCCTTACCACTAGATCACCTCGCCTACACTTGCTGTGACTCGTTTTTTATTCTACTTAATTCAATGTCGTTTCGGGTGGAATTAATTAAAAACGACGTCTGACATTAAAATGCTTTTGATACAACCAGGAATCGAAACTGGCTTCACACACTTGCAACACTTTGACCTTACCACTAGACCCTCTCGCCTACGCTTAGTTGAACTCTTTCTTATTGTACTTAACTGTTTCTCGTCTCGGGTGGAATTAATTAACAACGACCCTTTTTGCTGTTTTTTCCCCATTAATTAACAACGACACCTTTTGATACAACCAGGAATCGAACCTGGCTTCACGCACGTGCAACACTTTGCCCTTACCACTAGATCATCTCGCCTACACTTGCTTTAACTCCTTTTTTATTCTACTTAACTCATTCTCGTCTCGGGTGGAATTTATTAAAAACGACGCCTGACATTAAAATGCTTTCAATACAACCAGGAATCGAACCTTGCTTCAAACACTTGCAACACTTTGTCCTTACCACTAGACCATCTCGCCTACACTTAGTTGAACTCTTTCTTATTCTACTTAACTCTTTCTCGTCTCGGGTAAAATGCTTTTTATACAACCAGGATTCGAACCTGGCTTCGGGCACTTGCAACACTTTGTCCTTACCACTAGACCATCTCGTCTACACTTGCTTTAAATCCTTTTTTATTCTATTTAACTCATTCTCGTCTTGGGTGAAATTATTAAAAAACGTTTCCTGACTTTAAAATGGTTTTGACTACAACAGGGATCGATCCCTATAGTGGTAGTCTGCAACATCAGCAGACTACCTCTCGACTTCTAGATATATCCATTGGTTAGCAACTATACTAATTTCTACATAATCTCTCATCGCCAAATTTTACTTACGAAAATTAAGTCGCCAAAAATTAAAGGCTTGAGCCTTTATTTTTTGGCACGAAAAAATGATGAAAAACTAAAGTTTTTGATACTTAATTTTTGTCACTTTCTGAAAACTATAAGTGTAAAAAACGAACTATCAAGCGTTTATCTCCTCAGTACTTTTTTGCACATATTTTCCCTATTTTTCAGAAATATAAAATAATCCAAAATTTAAAGGTGATCTACAGTCCGATCTGCGCATGTGCACAAAGGAGCCCACTTTTTATGATACAAACAGTTTAACTATGTTTTGGGTTCTTGAAAAGCCTAATTATTGTTTCTTGATCATTTATTATACCCTAGAACTTGAAAATATAAATAGTTGTCGAATAAAGCTCAATATTTTGGACACAAAAATGTAAACAAAGGCTTTGTTTACATATGGACTGTAGAGCACCTTTAAGCTATTAGCCTTTACTTTTTGTGGATTTGGAAAGGTAATAACTTTTGTGGATTTGGAAAGGTAATAACGTTTACTTTTTTGCTGTTTTTTCCCCATTTATGAAAAATGGAAAAGGTCCCTAAAAATGGACGAAAAGTTAAGGCTATAGCCCTACTTTTTTGCTGTTTTTTCCCCATTTATGAAAAATGGAAAAAGTCGCTTAAAATGGACGAAAAGTTAAGGCTATAGCCTTACTTTTTTGCTGTTTTTTTGTCCATTTATGGAAAATGGAAAAAGTCGCTAAAAACGGACGAAAATATAGCCTTACTTTTTTGCTGTTTTTTTGCCCATACATTTATGAAAAATGGAAAAGGTCGCTAAAAATGGACGAAAATATAGCCTTACTTTTTTGCTGTTTTTTTCCCATACATTTATGAAAAATGGAAAAGGTCGCTAAAAATGGACGAAAAGTTAAGGCTGTAGCCTTACTTTTTTGCTGTTTTTTGTCCATTTATGGAAAAAGGAAAAAGTCGCTAAAAACGGATAGCCTTACTTTTTTGCTGTTTTTTTCCATTTATGAAAAATGGAAAAGGTCGCTAAAAATGGACGAAAATATAGCCTTACTTTTTTGCTGTTTTTTGTCCATTTATGGAAAATGGAAAAAGTCGCTAAAAACGGACGAAAATATAGCCTTACTTTTTTGCTGTTTTTTTCCATTTATGACAAATGGAAAAGGTCGCTAAAAATGGACGTAAATATAGCCTTACTTTTTTGCTGTTTTTTTCATTTATGGAAAATGGAAAAAGTCGCTAAAAATATAGCCTTACTTTTTTGCTGTTTTTTTCATTTATGAAAAATGGAAAAGGTCGCTAAAAAACGAAAATATAGCCTTACTTTTTTGCTGTTTTTTGTCCATTTATGAAAACTGGAAAAAGTCGCTAAAAACAGACGAAAAGTTAACACTATAGCCTTAATTTTTTGCTGTTTTTTGCCCATTTATGAAAAATGGAAAAAGTCGCTAAAAATGGACGAAAAGTTAAGACTATAGCTTTACTTTTTTGCTGTTTTTTTCCCATTTAGGAAAAATGGAAAGAGTCGCTAAAAATGGACGAAAAGTTAAGGCTATAGCCTTACTTTTTTGCCTCGTTTTAAAAAATTGAAAAGTCGGTAAAGATCCATTTATGAAAACTGGAAAAAGTCGCTAAAAACAGACGAAAAGTTAACACTATAGCCTTAATTTTTTGCTGTTTTTTGCCCATTTATGAAAAATGGAAAAAGTCGCTAAAAATGGACGAAAAGTTAAGACTATAGCTTTACTTTTTTGCTGTTTTTTTCCCATTTAGGAAAAATGGAAAGAGTCGCTAAAAATGGACGAAAAGTTAAGGCTATAGCCTTACTTTTTTGCCTCGTTTTAAAAAATTGAAAAGTCGGTAAAGATGGCCGAAAAGTAAAGGCTATAGCCTTACTTTTTTGCTGTTTTTTGCCCATTTATAAAAAATGTGAGAAAACTCGGTAAAAATGGACGAAAAGTAAAGGCCATATATAGCCTTACCTTTTTGCTGTTTTTTCCCCATTTATGAAAAATGGAAAAAGTCGCTAAAAATGGACGAAAAGTAAAGGTTATAACCTTACCTTTTTGCTGTTTTTTCCCCATTTGTGAAAAATGGAAAAAGTCGGTAAAAATGGACGAAAAGTAAAGGCTATAGCCTTACCTTTTTGCTGTTTTTCTCCCATTTATAAAAAATGAGAAAAGTCGGTAAAAATGGACGAAAAGTGTTTTTTTTCCCATTTATAAAAAATGAGAAAAGTCGGTAAAAATGGACGAAAAATAAAGGCTATAGCCTTACTTTTTTGCTGTTTTTTTCCTATGCATTTATGAAAAATGGAAAAAGTCGCTAAAAATGGACGAAAAGTTAAAGCTATAGCCTTACGTTTTTGCTGTTTTTTGCCCATTTATGAAAAATGGAAAAGTCGCTAAAATATGGACGAAAAGTTAAGGCTATAGCTTTACTTTTTTGCTGTTTTTTTCCCATTTATGAAAAATGGAAAAAGTCGCTAATAATGGACGAAAAGTTAAGGCTATAGCTTTACTTTTTTGCTGTTTTTTGCCCATTTATGAAAAATGGAAAAGTCGCTAAAATATGGACGAAAAGTTAAGGCTATAGCTTTACTTTTTTGCTGTTTTTTTCCCATTTATGAAAAATGGAAAAAGTCGCTAATAATGGACGAAAAGTTAAGACTATAGCTTTACTTTTTTGCTGTTTTTTGCCCATTTATGAAAAATGGAAAAGGTCGCTAAAAATGGAAGAAAAGTTAAGGCTTTTTTGCCCATTTATGAAAAACGAGAAGTCGGTAAAAATGGACGAAAAGTAGAGGCTCTAGCCTTACTTTTTTGCTGTTTTTTGCCCATTTGTGAAAAATGAGAAGTCGGTAAAAATGGACGAAAAGTAAAGGCTATATATAGCCTTACCTTTTTGTTGTTTTTTGCCCATTTATAAAAAATTAAAAAAGTCGATAAAAATGGACGAAAAGTAAAGGCTATAGCCTTACTTTTTGCTGTTTTTTCCCAGTTATAAAAAATGAGAAAAGTCGGTAAAAATGGACAAAAAGTAAAAGCTATAATAGCCTTACCTTTTTGCTGTTTTTTGCCCATTTATAAAAAATGAGAAAAGTCGGTAAAAATGGACGAAAAGTAAAGGCTATAGCCTTACTTTTTTTCCGTTTTTTTTCCATTTATAAAAAACGAGAAAAGTCGATAAAAATGGACGAAAAGTAAAGGCTATTATAGCCTTACTTTTTTGCTGTTTTTTTTCCCCATTTGTGAAAAATGAGAAAAGTCGGTAAAAAAAGTAAAGGAAAAGTAAAGGCTATAGCCTTACTTTTTTGCTGTTTTTTGCACATTTATGATCCCCATTTGTGAAAAATGAGAAAAGTCGGTAAAAAAAGTAAAGGCTATAGCCTTACTTTTTTGCTGTTTTTTGCACATTTATGAAAAATGGAAAAAGTCGCTAAAAACGGACGAAAAGTTAAGACTATAGCTTTACTTTTTTATTTTATTCTATTTTATTTATTTAATTCGCCTTATACATTTATTTGTGTTCGCCCATTTATGAAAAATGGAAAAAGTCGCTAAAAATGGACGAAAAGTTAAGGCTATATATATATATATATATATATATATATATATATATATATATATATATATATATATATATATATATATATATATATAACTATATATATATATATATAACTATATATATATATATATATATATATATATATATATATATATATATATATATATATATATATATATATATATAAATGAAAACGGTGATAAAAGACAGACTGAACACATAAATTTGATTTCATTTTAGGTTGTGAAAAACCGTGAGATTTAGAGGCTAAACCGTGAGACCGTGAGATGAGCCCTTAAACCGTGAGTCTCACGGCCAAACCGTGAGAGTTGGAAGGTCTGCAATGAAAGCAGAATATGCAAATTTGTTTGCGATTTACAGGGCACTTTCTTACCTTCCTTGCGAGCCACTTGCCATCCATATATTTAAATAAATGATAAATGTCAATTTTCCCCTTGAGAATTTTTTTTCTAATGCTATTTA